GTAGTCATCCTTCTTGCCAAGGAAATGCATGATGCCTTTAATCATGGAAGACACTCTTCCTAGAGATGTTAGTGAAGAAAATGATGAAGAAGGCAGTATAAGGCAACATTTTGTCATAGTGTTGCTGCTCAGGTATGTGTTATTGCTGTTAAATCTGTGATTTTTATGTGCCAACCTCAGGAATGACTTTCCACGTGTCCAAATCACAAAGGCAAGGCTCATATTATGGGCAAAATAAATGGAGACTGCTTACAGCAGCATATATTAAATACGGCAAGTTTCCAAAAAGGTCAAAGACACATAGAACAGGAATAAAATTGTTCATTCTGTCTTAAACAAAAACAATGTTTCTGTTGATTAAAGACTTTAGTATCTCAACAGGTGTCAGGAATTAGATCATAAACGTACTCTCTATGGAGCTAAAGCATGTGCCCTAGTTTCTATTTGTAACATTGTTCCTTTTTGAAATCTTGTTCAGATGGTTTTACAAGGTGGATATTGTTCCTTTATGGTTCGATGTGTGTATGTTTTATATTCGAATTGTAGTATTGTTTGTGCTTTAGATTAATACCTGTAAAGGTTTTTACAGCATTGAGTTTATACTCATGTATTACGCAATAATTTGAAATGTTGATGTTTCCTTCATAAAGGAAGTGATGTTCTCCTTGTACATCTTCCTTTGTGAAGGATCAAGTTTCTCAACATTTCGATCCTAGAGGTGATTAGATATGTAGTGGTAACCTGTTGTAACTTTTGATGGAGCTCATCAAAAGACGGGACGGTTGACCATCGCGAGAATTCCTACATCACGGGCTTTGGGCTGGGGACTCATAGATGCCAGTCATCCTAAGCCATGTTTTCTGTTTCATCTGTTTCTTAATCAATACAATTTTTTGTTCAAATTTACTTCATTTGTCATCTATTTTTTTCTTAGATCTTCATTTTTCTGACTACAGTTCTGCATACATCTTTCTTTCACGAAGCTTCATTGTTATACCTGGAAAGTTATACTTAAAAAAAGTTTGGGTGCCAACAAAATGTTCTGCCATTTTTTTATGTTTCTATACTAAGTGATCATTTCAAAGCATCAGCGATGTCTTTTAAATAATTATTTTTTTCCCCAGAATAATATGACCAGGCTTTAGATTTTAGTGGTTTTGATTATTTGGGATTATGG